CAATGCTCTCTGTGCAACAACAGTTATCCTTCTTCCTCCCTATGGGTCCTATTTTAATTCTACCCATTTTTCCCATCTCTTCTCAACTTTGTCCTTTGGTAAATGTTGCCCATTTGATCTTGAATGATTGATTTTTCTGTGGTGAGCATAACTTGCTAGTATTGTTGTCCACCCTATATACTTATCTACTGCTTGACTGAAAATTGAGTCATGAGAGTGAGTTCTGTTTCAGACTGAATGGTGGTCTAGGGCCATAATCTCAGGTGTCTCCAGTCTCTTTATGACAAGTAAGCCCAGTCTTTTTTTTTAGAATTTTGACTTTTGTTCCATAATTTCTTTCACTGTGTTTGGGATCTTCTAATATGACCCCTTTTCAGGACAGTTGGTAATGGTAGCTAGTCACCTTCTAGTTTGTCTGATCTCAAAGTCGTGACTGATGTTCACCTGCTCCATTGACGTATTGGACTAGTTGATTCTAAGCATCTTCAATTTTCATCACTCTTCTTTCTTCCACACATGCAGAAATGAATATTGCATCTTAGATGGCTACTCATAGACTTTTAAGGTCCCAGATGCTACTCACCAAAGTAGGATGAAGAACATGTAGAACTATGCCAATTGTTATGCCAATTGTTGTAATGTCTAACTTGTTCTTTCTGACAATTTTTTCACTTGGCAATCTGCTTGTCAGGTCTATATAACCTGGGTTGACCCACCTTTGGGTACTGATTTTTCTTCTGTCTTCCTCATCAGGTCCAGTCATGAGTTTTTAGAAACAATGTTGTCATCTTGCTTGTCTCATTTTGTAGAGGGAAACAACATTCTTATTTCTTGCTGGCCAACTCTATTCCAACGTTATCTTTCCAAACTACTCTAGGCCAAAGGCTCTACTTTGAACCTCAATTCAGAATAGAGTCAGTAGAATTGTCACTTCTGTCAGACAACCATCATTCAGAGTATACTGTAAAGATCTTTTTCTATGAATACTATAAAATAGCATTTTAGCTGTGCTAATTGAAAATGAAAAGAAGTGACCTTAATGGGTCTCTGGGTGACACAACTTGTTAAGTGCTCAACTACTAGTGGAAAGGTTGGTGATTTGAGCCCACCCAGAGACATTTTAGAAGATAGGCCTTAATCTTTTTTGATGCTTTCTGCATCATTCAATATTTTCCCCATATAATCCAACAATATTGCAATTCAAGGCTTGGATTTTTTTTCTTAAGGTCCCTCAGCTTGAGAAATGTTGGGTGTGTTCTTCCTTTTGGTTTTCTATTTCTCATTCTTGCACATTTCATTATAATGCTTGACTTTGTCTTCACAAGTTGCTCTTTGAAATTTTCTATTAAGTTCCTTTACCCCTTCATTTCTTTCATTTGATTTAGCATCTCTATGCTGGAAAGCAAATTTCAGAGTCTTGTGACATCCATTTTCTTCTTTCTTGATTTTTTTAATGCACTTTTTTTTCTTCCTGTATGATGTTCTTTATATTATCCCACAACTCTTCTGGTCTTTGGTCTTTAGTGTCTGTTGTTGTTGTTGTAAGTGCTATTGAGTCGATTTTGACCCATAGTGACCCTAATAGGGTTTCCAAGGAGCAGCTGGTGAGCTTGAACCACCAACCTTGCAGTTCAAACAACTTTGCAGTCTGACGTATTAGCCCCCAACGCCACACAAGGATCTTAGAAAATTGTTCTTCTGATGACCTCTAAATTCAGGTGGCATATGTTCAAGGTCATATTTTGGCTCTTGTGGACTTGCTTTCATTTTTTTCAGCTTCAGTGTGAATTTGCATATGAGTAATTACCACAGTCTGTCCTGGCCTTATTTTGACTGAAGATATGGATCTTTTCCACTGTCTTTTCCCACAGATGTAGTCAATTTGATTTCTGTTTATTTCATCTGCTAAGTCCATGTGTATAGTCATTTTTTATGTTGTTTAAAAAGACATTTGCAATGAAGCAGTCATTGGTCTTACAAAATTCTATCACGCTATCTCCAGCATCATTTCTATTACCAAGGCAATATTTTCTAATTATTGATACTTCCTCTTTGTTTCCAGCCATTGCATTCTAATTACCAGTAATTATCTATATGTCTTGAGTTCATGTCTGCTCAATTTCAGACTGAAGAATTTGGTAGAATTTTTTAATTTCATCAGCACTGGCTTTATTGGTTGGTGCATATATTTGAATAATAGTGGTCTTAGAGTGCCACGAAATTGTGATACCAAAAAGTGCGTGGTGATATTCCCACATAATATCCCTGAACACCTCTGTCTTCTGTACTCTACATTATTAGAGATTGGTAAGAGACAATTTTCTTTCTTGAGTAAAGCCATACACTGATGATGCTTCAAGATTAAGTTCTCAGAAAACTTCCTTGAAACAAGTTCCTCCAAATCTAAGTAATTTTTTTTTTTTTTAGAAATTATGGAGAGATAATTTTTAATACTGCTATCATAAGAGCCATGGTGGCATGGTGGGATGCATGCCAGGCTGCTAACCACAAGGCTTGAAGTTCAAACTCACCAGCTGCTCTGCTGGACACAGAGGAGGCTTTCTTTTCCAGTAAAGATATACAGCCTCAGGAATATAATTAGGTTCGTTCTGAGTTGGAATTGACGTCATGCAAGTGGGTTTAGTTTTTGTTATCATTATTGAAACTTGACATCAAGATCATTTTCCAAAACATAAACATTTGTATCTCTATAATAAGATATCAAATTGATACAGGTTTGAAATAGTGAGGGGGAAGGTATTAGTGGCCCTTTTGAATGTTACCTGAAATGTTACACTAAAAAACTGGTTTCTATTTCTTTTCTTTCATTCAATCATCAAAATAAATATAATTAATTCCTACTGTTCCTCATGTGGTGCTAGAAGAGAAGCACTAGACCAAGAGGTTGGTTTGAGCAGCAAAATCAATGGTTCAAACTCACCAGTCACTCTCCGGAAATCTTATAGAGGATCGCTATGAGTCAGAAACATCTTGACGGCACTTAACAACAACGATTCTCTGTGGAGTCCTGGTGTGGCACTGTAGGATAAGCACTGGACTGCTAACCACAGAGAATATTGTTAAGTGCCGTCGCGTCGATTCCAAGGTTTATCCTATAGCATCAAACCAAGACTCCAACATACTCTGTATCTATATAGAATATATTCAATTTTGGACATGTACCAACATTTTGGGAGTATTTATGATGTATCCTGCCTTAAATTTTATTATATGTTGTGAATATTTTAAGTAATTCATATTTTTCTTAAAACCATTGAGTCTTTTCATTAAATTGTTCAATTAACCCATTTCTAGGTGTTTAAACACTTTCAAATTATATGATAATGATTTCAGCTCATAATAAACCAGATGCTCATTAGGATTTTCATGATTGTCACTGTTTGGAATGAGGTTGCCAGGCCTATATTCTAAAGCACCTGAGTGTGTTCAAACCACCAACCAGACACGTAGCCATTTGTGTCACCCATTCCAAATATAAATAAAACCTTATTCTCTAGTATTTCTGAAAACAATGCCACTTTGTTAACTACTTTAATCCATTCTACATTACAGGATAAAGACATCAGGAAATGTAAAGAATAGTAAGTTATTTTTCAAGGGTGATCAAGTAGGTCAATAAATAGATGAGTAGTTCCCATCCATTGAAATACATCAGAATCACTGGAATATCTGTCAGTAAGATTCTCATTCATGGATTCTGATTCTGTAGATCCAGAATAGACACAACATTCAAACATTTAGCAAAAATTGCAAGTGAGTCTAATGTAAGTGTGTTCTTTGGAAACACTGATGTCGACTAGAGACTGAAGATTTGCGGGATTAAGGGGAAATGACATCTTTTATAAAACAAAATAATACTGGCAGTTTTACTCAATTCTCAAGTCTACCATCATTTCTTTTCCTTTAAACAAACATAAATACTATTGAGATACTCCCTGTGTGATAGACAGTGTTCTGGATGCTAGGGAAGTAGTCACTGTCTATCCTTCCTCTCTGAAACAATATGAAGCTTGTTAAATATCAAAGTGTCCATGACCATTAAATAAGAATAGTAGAGAGAATTAATGGTTATAGTCCGTGTCCTCCAACAGTGTGTCATTTAAAACAATTAATTTGAAATTAGAGATTTGAGAAAATAAATGAGGTTAGACATTTATGTAGAAAAAACAAATTCAACTCCGTAAGATTAGTGGACTTTTCTAGGTTCTAACAGATGTAATTTGTGAACTGACAGCTTGTCCCTATGCTGGTGGTTGCTGTGATTAGGTGTCCTTGAGTAAGTTCTGACTCATAGTGACCCCATGTACAACGGAATGAAACACTACATCTCTGATACGAGTGGCAGATGATATTTTTACCTTCTACCTAAATGACTGGCACTTGCCCATCAATTTTCTCAATGCATTTAGAACTTCCTTGTTCCTGAGACTATAGGCAAGAGGGTTCAGTAAAGGGGTGAGAACTGTACCAAATATAAAGAGACCCTGATTTAGTGTTTGGGTCTTGGCAGCACCAGGTCTCATATAAATGCATATACCTGGACCAAAATAAAGACCCACCACACAGAGGTGAGAGGAGCAGGTTGTCAGAGCCTTGTTCCTGCCTTCTGGGGAGTTCATTCGGAAGACAGCAAGTAGGATGACAGCATAAGAAGACAAGATGAGTGATAAGGGCAATAGCAAAACAAGAATACTGGTCACCACCACTGCCTTCTCATAGGCTGAGATGTCTTCACAGACAATTCTAAGAACAGCCATGACTTCACAGAAAAAATGGGGGATCTCTCTGGGACTGCAGATTTGGAAATGCAAGGTGAATGCAGTATGACCTAGGGAAGTAAGTGCCCCTCCAGCCCAAGACATGGTGGCCATCTGCAAACAAACCCTACGATTGATGATGACTGAGTAACCCAGAGGATTACAGATAGCCACATAGCGATCAAAGCACATGAGTGTTATGAGGATGCATTCAGCAATGGCCACAGTCAAAGAGAAGAAAATTTGGATTCCACAGGCCAGGAATGAGATGCTCTGCCATCTGGAGAAGAAGTTGGCTGCCATCTTGGGGACAATGCTGGAGGTCAAAATCAAATCCATTAAGGAGAGCTGACTGAGAAGAAAGTACATTGGAGTGTGAAGCCGAGAATCCAACCAGATGAGGAGGATCAGAAGAGTATTACAAGTGAAGGCAGCTGTGAAGATCAGGAGAATGATAGACACTATGACCGTGGTGTGTCTAAACTCTGGGAAAAAGCCCAGAAGGGTGAAATCTATGAATGCTGTCCCATTCCTTCTCCCCATGGCTTTCTGTGATTACAACAGAAAAGGAAGAAACCTATAAAAACTGTCAGAGAAGTTATTTAGTTTGTTATTAAATTGTTTGCCTTCAAACTAAGTGATTACATATTAACTAAGATCTACCTGGTATCACAGGAAGTTTTAATGATTAAGTGGGTTAGCCGGATTGTAGCTGTAGTCATAAAATTAAGATTAATAATATAACTATTTTAATGACAAAATTGGCCAACATGCATCTTATTTTGCTCTCTTAAAGTACATCTTGAACCAGGTCAGTGGGCTTGTAAGCACCTGATCCAAAAGCAAATAGTTAGAAACCAAAACTTCAGAATGCTCAAAATATTACACAGAAGTAAACAAGGGTTTTGTAATTTAAATGCCTGCCATGTTTATTCAAACTTCCAATCATGCTTCATTCCTAGCTCAAAAGCTACTTCCTCAGAGTTTTTGTGTCCCTGGACTTGCTTAAGTTGTCTTATTAAAAACTCACATTCCAGATTTTACTCATGGCAGCATTCATTAAAATCTAAATTTCATCATTGCATATGTTAGCATTGGTATTATCCACTAAACTATAAGATTCATGATAGAAGGAATCTCGTTCCACCTTTTTTCTCCGGGATCTGTTATGGTGTCAGACAAAATAGTCATCTTCAATGGAAATGAATTAAATACACACGTCAGCTCAGGGCTAGAATTCAGGTCTTAAGACTCCATGTACAATGCTGTACCAAACAAGGGACATCTGCCACAAAAATAATTTTTTCTACCAATTTTTACTTCAGTATTGTTATGTCCACTTGAGAAATGATGCACAAAAAGAGCACACAAGCTAGTTTAGTTATCTAGTAAAATATCAGCTTTCCTCGTCACAGTCAACTATCTGTTTTCCGTCATGACTGAGCCACAGAAATACTATTGACAAATGATTACAGAATTAGCATCAAGAATGAATTTTCACAAACCAAAAACTTGGATAGCTTCCTTATTTAGATGCTTACCTTATAATTTCTATCAAATCATTATAATTTCTTAGAATGAAAAATGCTCAAAACTTTACACATAGTCCACTGATGCTGATCATACATACACATTATTTCAGAAGAAAATTACAGATAATTGTGTTGACCCTGATAGTTACCAAAATCCCTCTCTCTCCTCAGCCTGACTTTGTGAGCAGTATATATTACCCAATTCCCTAGTGTGTTGGGGGCTCAACACAGGTGGTGGGTCTGTCTGCCATACTGCCTCTTCCTGACTCAAACCAATGCAGGCTCTCATTAAGAGCTGAGATTCCCATGTGCAGTGTCCTATAGGAATATACTCCAGAGGATATAATTAGTTTTTCAAAACCAGGGACTAGTTACATACTCGGAATTGTGTTTGGTCAGTGCTATTATCATTTTCCAGAAGTACATTTTGGACTTTTCTTTGATTGTCCTTTCATTAGTCTTCTATAATAATGAAACAAGTTATTAATTTAATTTCTAATGTCTCTTGTTTTCCTATTTTCTTTCTATTCCTAGAACCCTCTGTCTAATGCTGTTTTCTCTGCTTGTAATTATTCCTTTTATCCTGTTTTACCTAAATCCTGCCCTTTTTTCAATACCAGATTTAACTCGTGCCTACCCAGTAATGTCTTCCTTTATTTCCACCATCCACATCGAATCTTATTAATCTTTTACCACTCTATCTTAAAATTGGCATGATTTTTGTAAGGTACAGTAGTCTAGGGTTTTGCTTCAGTCCTCTTCTTCCCCACTCTTTTTGTTGTTGTTGTTGTTGAGTGCCTTAGAGTCACTTCCGACTCATAGTAATCCTGTATAGGGTGTGCCAGGAACAGTTGATGGGTTTGAACAGTGGACCTTACAGTTAGTAATCGAGTGCTTATTCTGCAGCACCACATCAGGACTCCAATTAAATTAGATTACAGGCATACCTTATTTTAATGCTCTTCATTTTTATTGTACTTTGCAGATAATGCTTTTTTTTTTTTTTTTTTTTTTGGACAAATTGAAGCTTTGTAATAACCCTACATCCAGCAATTGGTACCATGTTTCCAACATCATGTGCTCACTTCATATCTCTGGGTCACATTTAATTTTGGAAATTCTTACAACACTTCAAACTTTTTCATATTTCTATACTTAATAGAGTATGTTGTTGTCATTGCTGTTAAGTACCATCAAGTTGGTTCCCACTTATATTGAACCTATATAGGGTTATGGAAGAGCAGCTGGTGAGTTTGAACTGATGACCTTGCAGTTCAAAGCAACTTTATGGTCGAGTGCTTATCCTATGGTGCCACACCTTAAGTTTTATTTGTAGTGTGAAACCCAAAAATTTCATGTGATTTGTATTGTTGCAAAATTCTCTATTCCGTGGTCTTGAACCAAGCCTGCAATATCTCTGAGGCATCTGTATATTAAATCCACAAATACTGTATACTATAGTCTGGGAATTTAAAATGGAAAATAAGAAAAAATACAATACAACTTGGTATAATGGAAGAAACATATTTATGAAAAAATTACTATGATATAAGTGATTAGTACCACATTAAGGGGGATTTCAAAAGTTTGTGGAAAAGTGAAAATAAAGTAATGTAATTTTTCAGTGATGTAATTTTTGAAGGCCCCTTGTAATATTATATACATGTTGGCATAGCAGTGTATGGGCAGAATGGCTAATTTGTCTAGGTTAAAAGTAGATAGATGACTATGGAAAGCAGTATGTGCTTCCCCAACAGTTTGAAATAGAAATACAGTATGACCAAAGCCATCCTTCTACTTGGTAGATATCTTAAAGAACTAAGAGCAATGGCATGAATAGATGTACACAAACCCATGTTAACCACAACACTATTCACAAAAGAAAAAGATGGATACAGCCCAAATGTTCATCAATGGGAGAACAGGTAAACAAATTTTTATACATGCATAGAATGGAGTACTAAACAAAAATAATGATTAATCTGTGAAACAATTCATAACATGGATAAACCTGAAAGACGTGATGCTGAGTTAAGTTAGTTAATCACAAAAGAACAAATATTGTATGAGGCCACTATTGCAGAAACTCAAGAAAAGGTTTTCATACTGAAAGAAACATTATTTGGTAGTTACCAGGGTTGAGTAATTCACTGGCTAGAGGGTACACACATGATAACTTAAGTGATGGGGAAGACAATATACAACAAGAGAGAGGTTAGTAGAAGAATGGTGAAGGCAGAGGTAGACCTGGGGAAGAGTACAAACATTAAAAAGAATGGAGTTACATGCTGTTGCATATATAAACCAGCAATAATAGTGAACTACAAAGTACAATCAAGATGGCGGATCTGGCAGATGTGTAGTGAGAGACACTCACTCATCTCTGCTAAGAAATTTGGAAGACAACTATCTGGGCGACTGATTGGAAGAGATCCATATTTGTGCCCATTCCAAAGAGAGGTGACCCAACAGAATGCGGAAATCATCAGACAATCT